TAAGTCACAGTGTTAGTCTTGACTAAGTCAGTGTTAGTCTTGACTAAGTCACAGTGTTAGTCTTGACTAAGTCACAGAGTTAGTCTTGACTAAGTCACAGTAGTTTAAGTCTTGACTATAGTTATCTGACTAAGTCAGTGTTAGTCTTGACTAAGTCACAGTGTTAGTCTTGACTAAGTCACAGTGTTAGTCTTGACTAAGTCACAGTGTTAGCTTGTGTGTGTTAGTCTTGACTAAGTCACAGTGTTAGTCTTGACTAAGTCACAGTGTTAGTCTTGACTAAGTCACAGTGTTAGTCTTGACTTAGGTGTCACTAAGTGTTAGTCTTGACTAAGTCACAGTGTTAGTCTTGACTAAGTCACAGTGTTAGTCTTGACTAAGTCACAGTGTTAGTCTTGACTAAGTCACAGAGTTAGTCTTGACTAAGTCACAGTGTTGGTCTTGACTAAGTCACAGTGTTAGTCTTGAGTAAGTCACAGTGTTAGTCTTGACTAAGTCACAGTGTTAACCTTGACCAAGTCACAGTGTTAGTCTTGACTAAGTCACAGTGTTGTCTTGACTAAGTCACAGTGTTAGTCTTGACTAAGTCACAGTGTTAGTCTGACTAAGTCACAGTGTTAGTCTTGACTAAGTCACAGTTTAGTCTTGACTAAGTCACAGGTTAGTCTACTAGTCCAGTGTTAGTCTTGACTAGTCACATGTTTCTTGACTAGTCAGTTGTTGATGTCTTTGCTTGACTAAGTCACAGTGTTAGTCTTGACTAAGTCACAGTGTTAGTCTTGACTAGTCACAGTTAGTCTTGATAAGTCAGTGTTAGTCTTGACTAAGTCACAGTGTTAGTCTGACTAAGTCGTTAGTCTTGACTAAGTCACAGTGTTAGTCTTGACTAAGTCACAGTGTTAGTCTTGACTAAGTCAGTGTTAGTCTTGATAAGTCACAGTGTTAGTCTTGACTAAGTCACAGTGTTAGTCTTGACTAAGTCACAGTGTTAGTCTTGACTAAGTCACAGGTTTAGTCTTGACTAAGTCACAGTGTTAGTCTTGACTAAGTCACAGTGTTAGTCTTGACTAAGTCACAGTGTTAGTCTTGACTAAGTCACAGTGTTAGTCTGACTAAGTACTGTGAGTTGCTAAGTCACAGTGTTAGTCTTGATTAAGTCACAGTGTTAGTCTTGACTAAGTCACAGTGTTAGTCTTGACTAATCATGTAGCTGACTACACAGTGTTAGTCTTGACTAAGTCACAGTGTTAGTCTTGACTAAGTCACAGTGTAGTCTTGACTAAGTCCAGGTTTTGACTAAGTCACAGTGTTAGTCTTGACTAAGTCACAGTGTTAGTCTTGACTAAGACAGTGGTCTGACTAAGTCACAGTGTTAGTCTTGACTAAGTCACAGTGTTAGTCTTGACTAAGTCCAGTGTTAGTCTTGCAGTAACAGTTAGTCTTGACTAAGTCACAGTGTTAGTCTTGACTAAGTCACAGTGTTAGTCTTGACTAAGTCACAGTGTTAGTCTTGACTAAGTCACAGTGTTAGTCTTGATAAGTCAGTGTTATCGATAAGTCGTGCACAGTGTTGGTCTTGACTAAGTCACAGTGTTAGTCTTGACTAAGTCACAGTGTTAGTCTTGACTAAGTCACAGTGTTAGTCTTGACTAAGTCACAGTGTTAGTCTTGACTAAGTCACAGTGTGTCTTGATAAGTCAGTTTGTTGACTAGTCACAGTGGCTGACTAGTCAGTGTTAGTCTTGACTAAGTCACAGTGTTAGTCTTGACTAAGTCACAGTGTTAGTCTTGACTAAGTCACAGTGTTAGTCTTGACTAAGTCAGTGTTAGTCTTGACTAAGTCACAGTGTTAGTCTTGACTAAGTCACAGTGTTAGTCTTGACTAAGTCACAGTGTTAGTCTTGACTAAGTCACAGTGTTAGTCTTGACTAAGTCACAGTGTTAGTCTTGACAGTCAGTGTTGATTGACTAAGTCACAGTGTTAGTCTTGACTAAGTCACAGTGTTTCTTGACTAAGTCACAGTGTTAGTCTTGACTAAGTCACAGTGTTAGTCTTAGTTTGTAAGTCACAGTGTTAGTCTTGACTAAGTCACAGTGTTATCTTGACTAAGTCACAGTGTTGAGTCTTGACTAAGTCACAGTGTTAGTCTTGACTAAGTCAGGTGTTAGTCTTGACTAAGTCACAGTGTTAGTCTTGACTAATCAGTGTCTTGACTAAGTCAGTGTTAGTTGACTAAGAGTGTTCTTGACTAAGTCACAGTGTTAGTCTTGACTAAGTCAGTGTTAGTCTTGACTAAGTCACAGTGTTAGTCTTGACTAAGTCACAGTGTTTAGGTCTTTGACTAAGTCACAGTGTTAGTCTTGACTAAGTCACGTGTTAGTCTTGACTAAGTCACAGTGTTAGTCTTGACTAGTAGGGAGTGTTAGTGTTGACTAAGTCACAGTGTAGTCTGACAGTCAGTGTTAGCTTGACTAAGTCACAGTGTTAGTCTTGACTAAGTCACAGTGTTGTCTTGACTAAGTCAGTGTTAGTCTTGACTAAGTCACAGTGTTAGTCTTGACTAAGTCAGTGTTAGTCTTGACTAAGTCACTTTGTTTTTTAGGTCTTGACTAAGTCACAGTGTTAGTCTTGACTAAGTCGTGTTAGTCTTGACTAAGTCACAGTGTTAGTCTTGACTAAGTCAGTGTTAGTCTTGACTAGTCAGTGTTGTCTTACTAGTCACAGTGTTAGGTCTTGACTAAGTCACAGTGTTAGTTTACTAAGTCAGGTTAGACTGACTAGTCACAGTGTTAGTCTTGACTAAGTCAGTGTTAGTCTTGACTAGTCACAGTGTTAGTCTTGACTAAGTCAAGTTAGTCTTGACAGCAGTGTTAGTCTTGACTAAGTCACAGTGTTAGTCTTGACTAAGTCAGTGTTGTTGTTGACTAATGTACAGTGTTAGTCTTGACTAAGTCACAGTGTTAGTCTTGACTAGTCACAGTGTTGTCTTGACTAAGTCACAGTGTTAGTCTTGACTAAGTCAGTGTTGCTTGACTAAGTCACAGTGTTTGTCTTGACTAATCAGCTGTTAGTCTTGACTAGTCAGAATGTTATTTGATAGTCACGTGTTAGGTCTTGACTAGTCACAGTGTTATCTTGACTAAGTCAGTGTTAGACTTACTAGTCACAGTGTTAGTCTTGACTAAGTCAGTGTTAGTCTTGACTAGTATCAGTGTTAGTCTTGATAAGTCACAGTTTGTCTTGACTAGACAAGTTAGTCTGTTATTGATTGACTTAAGTCAGAGTGTTAGTCTTGAGTAAAGTACATGTATCTTGACTAATATCATGTTAGTCTGACTAAGTCACAGTGTTAGTCTTGACTAAGTACCAAGTGTTAGTCTGACTAGTCCAGTGTTAGTCTTGACTAGTCACAGTGTTGGTCTTGACTAAGTCCAGTGTAGTCTTGCTAATCACAGTGTTGTCTTGATAAGTCAGAGTGTTTATCCTTGACTAGTACAGTGTTAGCTTGACTAGTCAAGTGTTAGTCTTGTACTAGGTGCATCAGTGTTAGTCTTGACTAAGTCACAGTGTAGTCTTGACTAAGTCACAGTGTCTAGTCTGACTAATAGTCAGGTATTTGTCTTAACTAAGTACCTAGTATAGTCTTGACTAGGTCACATGTGTTAGTCTTGACTAGGTCACAGTGTTAGTCTTGACTAAGTCAGAGTGTTAGTCTTGACTAAGTCACAGTGTTAGTCTTGACTAAGTCAGAGTGTTAGTCTTGACTAAGTCACAGTGTTAGTCTTGACTAAGTCAGAGTGTTAGTCTTGACTAGGTCACAGTGTTAGTCTTAACTAGGTCACAGTGTTAGTCTTGACTAGGTCACAGTGTTAGTCTTCGGGTTATCGTGGTGGCTAATTAACACATACGTTACTGTATAATAACTTTTATCACCTACACTTATAGTTACGTGTACCTTAGTAACACAAAAAAAATAAATGTGTGCATTGGTAAGCCAGCGGAAGGCCTCGGTCAGACGACCAAAGCCTTCAGTTGTGGGGTCATCATATATCTAAGACCAGTGTCAGGAAACACTTCTGTTTCCTGACGATACTTACCTAGCCTAACCTGTACCTAAATAACCTTAAGTACCTACTAACATCGTCTCCAATAGCACATAATTAAGATATTTACCTGAGTTGAAATTCTAAACACAATTTTTCTGGGTCTTCCTGGTTAATAATCTACACATATATTGCTATGTATCTATGTATAATAATCTATGTATCTATGTATAATAATCTATGTATCTTTGTATAATAATCTATGTATCTGTGTATAATAATCTATGTATCTATGTATAATAATCTATGTATCTTTGTATAATAATCTATGTATCTGTGTATATAAAAATCTATGTATCTGTGTATAATAATCTATGTATCTATGTATAATAATCTATGTATCTATGTATAATAATCTATGTATCTATGTATAATAATCTATGTATCTATGTATAATAATCTATGTATCTATGTATAATAATCTATGTATCTATGTATAATAATCTATGTATCTATGTATAATAATCTATGTATCTGTGTATTATAATCTATATCTATGTATAATAATCTATGTATCTATGTATAATAATCTATGTATCTATGTATAATAATCTATGTATCTATGTATAATAATCTATGTATCTATGTATAATAATCTATGTATCTATGTATAATAATCTATGTATCTATGTATAATAATCTATGTATCTGTGTATAATAATCTATGTATCTATGTATAATAATCTATGTATCTGTGTATAATAATCTATGTATCTATGTATAATAATCTATGTATCTGTGTATAATAATCTATGTATCTTTGTATAATAATCTATGTATCTATGTATAATAATCTATGTATCTATGTACAATAATCTATGTAACTGTATGTAGTCTGAAGAAATATTTCTCGACAGCTCCCTCAAAACGATATGGTCTATGTGGTTATTTTTTACCTTCTTGGGCGATGGTGACTGTCAGGAGGACCAGGAGCTGTATTGTGTACATGGCTTAACTTCCACGGGATCCTCACTACCACGGGATCCTCACGAACATCCACGGGATCCTCAATAACTTCCACGGGATCCTCAGTAACTTCCACGGGATCCTCAGCAACTTCCAAGGGATCCTCAGCAACTTCCACGGGATCCTCACTACCACGGGATCCTCAGTACCACGGGATCCTCAGTACCACGGGATCCTCACTACCACGGGTTCCTCACTACCACGGGATCCTCAGTACCACGGGATCCTCAGTACCACGGGATCCTCAGTATCACGGGATCCTCACTACCACGGGATCCTCACTTCCACGGGATCCTCAGTAGTACGGGATCCTCACTACCATGGGATCCTCACTAACTTCCACACGCTTTATTTCCTTGTATAACTAGTTAGTGGGAGTTACGTATCGTTATACACAAGAGAACGTACTAAGACGTATATCCCTCCCAGGAGTGACGGATGAGTATATATAGAGAGGATACCGGGTATACTCCTCCCTCTTCAAGAGTCTGACGCACACTAAGGTTACTATAGACTGAGAAAGACTATTTGGTACTTGGTAGCGACGGTGGGACGTCGGTGGGACGTGTGGGAGGAGTCTGGACGCTGCAGGCGGGGCTAAAAGTCGTGGTATTAATCTCGATCCTAATGAAAATAAGTTACTTCGTGACTTTTTTGGGGTTATCGTAGGTAATTTACAGATATGTTTTATCTTGAGGGGGTCAACGCCCCCGTGGCCCAGTCCTAGACCAGGCCTCCTGGTGGATCAGGGCCTGATCAACCAGCTTGTGGTTGATCAGGTATGATCATTGTAATCACCTAAAGATGTGTCCCTTTACACAACTACTCAACATCACTACAACAACTTTGCTATGCATCACCTTCGTAACACCACACAGCATCAACTAACATCCTTCTCCTCCATGGGGGCCAGGAGCTAACACTCGACCCCCGGCAACCACAAATAGGCGAGTACTTCATCCTGACACAAACATCACCCAACATAACCACACATCAACCTCACAGCATCACGTAACATCACCATACATCGTCACACCATCACCACTTCTTATCTGTTTACAGTCTCCGGGACAGAGGTGAACCAGCAGTTGGTCAGGACCCGGTAAAGCTTCTCTCAGTAAAGCTCTCATAGCTACCACCAATACCATGACTAAGACCATCGTTAGCCTAAGACCAGTGTTATGACTAAGACCAGTGTGATGGCTAAAACCAGTGTCATGACTAAAACCAGTGTCATGACTAAGACAAGTGTCATAACTAAGACAAGTGTCATGACTAAGACAAATGTCAAGAGTAAGACGAGTGTCATGATTAAGACCAGTGTCATGACTAAGACCAGTGTCATGATTAAGACCAGTGTCATGATTAAGACCAGTGTCATGACCAAGACTACTGTCATGACTAAGATTAGTGTCATGATTAAGACTAGTGTCACGACTAAAGACTAGTGTCATGACTACGACCAGTGTCATGACTAAGACCAGGGTCATGACTAAGACCAGTGTCATGACTGAAACCAGTGTCATGGCTAAAACCAGTGTCATGGCTAAGACCAGTGTCATGACTAAGACCAGTGTCATGACTAAGACCAGTGTCATGACTAAGACCAGTGTCATGCCTAAAACCAGTGTCAAGGCTAAGACCAGTGTCATGACTAACACCAGTGTCATGACTAAGACCTGAGTCATGACTAAGACCAGTTCCAAGACTAAGACCAGTGTCATGACTAAGACCAGTGTCATGACTAAGACCAGTGTCATGGCTAAGACCTGTGTCATGACTAAGACCAGTGTCATGACTAAGACCAATGTCATGATTAAGACCAGTGTCATGACTAAGACCAGTTCCATGACTAAGACCAGTGTCATGACTAAGACCAGTGTCATGACTAAGACCAATGTCATGACTAAGACCAGTGTCATGACTAAGACCAGTGTCATGACTAAGACCACTGTCATGACTAAGACCAATGTTATGACTAAGACCAGTGTCATGACTAAGACCAGTTCCATGACTAAGACCTGTGTCATGACTAAGACCAGTGTCATGACTAAGACCAATGTCATGACTAAGACCAGTGTCATGACTAAGACCAGTGTCATGACTAAGACCAGTGTCATGACTAAGACCAGTGTCATGACTAAGACCAGTGTCATGACTAAGACCAGTGTCATGGCTAAAACCAGAGTCATGGCTAAGACCAGTGTCATGACTAAGACCAGTGCCATGGCTAAGACCTGCGTCATGGCTAAGACCTGAGTCATGACTAAGACCAGTGTCATGACTAAGACCAGTGTCATGACTAAGACCAGTGCCATGACTAAGACCAGTGTCATGACTAAGATTAGTGGCATGACTAAGACCAGTGTCATGACTAAGACCAGTGCCATGACTAAGACCAGTGTCATGACTAAGACCAGTGTCATGACTAAGACCAGTGTCATGACTAAGACCAGTGCCATGACTAAGACCAGTGTCATGACTAAGACCAATGTCATGACTAAGACCAGTGTCATGACTAAGACCAGTGTCATGACTAAGACCAGTGTCATGACTAAGACCAATATTATGACTAAGACCAGTGTCATGACTAAGACCAGTTCCATGACTAAGACCTGTGTCATGACTAAGACCAGTGTCATGACTAAGACCAATGTCATGACTAAGACCAGTGTCATGACTAAGACCAGTGTCATGACTAAGACCAGTGTCATGACTAAGACCAGTGTCATGACTAAGACCAGTGTCATGGCTAAAACCAGAGTCATGGCTAAGACCAGTGTCATGACTAAGACCAGTGCCATGGCTAAGACCTGTGTCATGGCTAAGACCTGTGTCATGACTAAGACCAGTGTCATGACTAAGACCAGTGTCATGACTAAGACCAGTGCCATGACTAAGACCAGTGTCATGACTAAGATTAGAGGTATGACTAAGACCAGTGTCATGACTAAGACCAGTGCCATGACTAAGACCAGTGTCATGACTAAGACCAGTGTCATGACTAAGACCAGTGTCATGACTAAGACCAGTGCCATGACTAAGACCAGTGTCATGACTAAGACCAGTGGCATGACTAGGACCAGTGTCATGACTAAGACCAGTGTCATGACTATGACCAGTTTCATGACTAAGACCAGTGTCATGACTAAGACCAGTGTCATGACTATGACCAGTTTCATGAATAAGACTAGTGTCATGACTAAGACCAGTGCCATGACTAAGACCAGTGCCATGACTAAGACCAGTGTCATGACTAAGACCAGTGTCATGACTAAGACCAGTGTCATGACTAAGACCAGTGCCATGACTAAGACCAGTGTCATGACTAAGACCAGTGTTATGACTAAAACTAGAGTCATGACTAATACCTGTGTCATGACTAAGACCAGTGTCACGACTAAGACTAGTGTCATGACTAAAACTAGTGTCATGACTAAGACCAGTGTCATGGCTAAGACCTATGTCATGACTAAGACCAGTGTCATGACTAAGACCTGAGTCATGACTAAGACCAGTTCCATGACTAAGACCAGTGTCATGACTAAGACCAGTGTCATGTGACTAAGACCTAGGAAGTCATGACTAAACCGTGTCATGACTAAGACCAGTGTCATGACTAAGACCAGTGTCATGAATAAGACAACTGTCATGACTAAGACCAGTGTCATGACTAAGACCATTGTCATGAATAAGAACAGTGTCATGACTAAGACCAGTGTCATGAATAAGACAAGTGTCATGACTAAGGCCTGTGTCATGACTAAGACCAGTGTCATGACTAAGACCAGTGTCATGACTAAGACCAGTGCCATGACTAGGACCTGTTTCATGACTAAGACCTGTGTCATGACTAAGACCAGTGTCATGACTAAGACCAGTGTCATGGACATATTAAGACCATGTGTCATGACTAAGACCTGTGTCATGACTAAGACCTGTGTCATGACTAAGACCAGTGCCATGACTAAGACCAGTGTCATGACTAAGTCCAGTGTCATGACTAAGACCAGTGGCATGACTAAGACCAGTGTCATGACTAAGACCTGTGTCATGACTAAGACTAGTGTCATGACTAAGACCTGTGTCATGACTAAGACCTGTGTCATGACTAAGACCTGTGTCATGACTAAGACCAGTGTCATGACTAAGACTAGTGTCATGACTAAACTATACCTAAGTGTCATGACTAAGAACTAGTGTCATGACTAAGACCTGTGTCATGACTAAGACCAGTGTCATGACTAAGACTAGTGTCATGACTAAGACCTGTGTCATGACTAAGACTAGTGTCATGACTAAGACTAGTGTCATGACTAAGACCTGTGTCATGACTAAGACTAGTGTCATGACTAAGACTAGTGTCATGACTAAGACCAGTGTCATGACTAAGACCAGTGTCATGACTAAGACCTAGTGTCATAACTAAGACCAGTGTCATGACTAAGACTAGTGTCATGACTAAGACCTGTCATGACTAAGACCAGTGTCTCAAGATGTCATGAAAGACCTGTGTCATGACTAAGACTAGTGTCATGGCTAAGACTAGTGTCATGACTAAGACCAGTGTCATGACTAAGACCAGTGTCATGACTAAGACTAGTGTCATGACTAAGACCAGTGTCATGACTAAGACCAGTGTCATGACTAAGACCAGTGTCATGACTAAGACCAGTGTCATAACTAAGACAGTGTCATGCTAAGACTGTGTCATGAACTAAGACCTGTGTCATGACTAAGACCAGTGTCATGACTAAGACCAGTGTCATGACTAAGACCTAGTGTCATGACTAAGACCAGTGTCATGACTAAGACCAGTGTCGCTAAGACCCGTGTCATGACTAAGACCTCTGTCATGAATATGACCTGTGTCATGACTAAGACCAGTGTCATGACTAAGACCAGTGTCATGACTAAGACCTGTGTCATGACTAAGACCAGTGTCATGACTAAGACCTAGTGTCATGACTAAGACCAGTGTCATGACTAAGACCTGTGTCATGACTAAGACTAGTGTCATGACTAAGACCAGTGTCATGACTAAGACCAGTGTCATGAATAAGACCTGTGTCATGACTAAGACCAGTGTCATGACTAAGACCAGTGTCTTGACTAAGACCTGTGTCATGACTAAGACCAGTGTCATGACTAAGACTAGTGTCATGACTAAGACCAGTGTCATGACTAAGACCAGTGTCATGACTAAGACCAGTGTCTTGACTAAGACCTGTGTCATGACTAAGACCAGTGTCATGACTAAGACTAGTGTCATGACTAAGACCAGTGTCATGACTAAGACCAGTGTCATGACTAAGACCTGTGTCATGACTAAGACTAGTGTCATGACTAAGACCAGTGTCATGACTAAGACTGTGTCATGATAAATTCCAGTGTCAGACTAGACTAGTCACAGGTGTCAAGCTCTGACTATAGACCAGTGTCATGACTAAGTCCAGTGTCATGACAAGTACAGTGTCTCTGACTAAGACTGGTCATGACTAGCACCAGTGTCATGACTTAGACTAGTGTCATGACTAGACATCAGTGTCATGACTAAGACCATAGTGTCAATGAC